TATATATTTAACATTTTGGTGCTACATGTGTAAACATTTTTTTGTATTTTTTATTGTACTCATATTGATTTATTAGTAATATGATAAATTTTTATGAAATTGATACAAGTAATGGAAATAAATGAAATAAAGTATATAGTATTGGATGTAATTGTATTTGGGATAAATTTGTGTGAAAAAATATACAGTGACATGTTTCTCCTTAGCACCTACACCTGCTAGTAGCCAGAATATTCTTGGCACAGCATGCAAAGATATTAGTGTTAATGGATCTGATCAAAATAAATGGTTTTACTCAAGAGGAAAGGGTTCTTGTACCCCAGTTGATATGCATGATTTTAGTTTTGACAATCACCAGCGACCATACCAAGTTGTGTTTACATTTCAGGTATATAATTTATAGAATTATATTACAAGGTAATTACTGGGATATTCAACTATAAAAATGTAATAAATTTCATTTTAGATGCCTGTACCTCGGAACAATAAGCAGCTTGATTACTCGAGATGGCAGCAAAATTTAATAGGAGTATTACAAGTGGATATATTGTATAACAGCCAGATTCAAATCGGTAATATAACAGATGTTACTAACATTTTATTAACATTTTAATTATCACTTATAATTCTGACATATTGTATTTTTTTATAGCCTCTAGGACGAAAATAGCATTGGATGCACGATTAGCCTATCGAAATAAGAATGATCCAGAAGATATATGGAAACCATATGCTGCTTCTGTTGTGGAGAGAATTTTAGATTGCAGCATAGAAAAGGTAAATAGCTCGATATGTAATAAGCTTGCTTTTTACGCATGCATATTTGTAATTATATGCAAATATAAATTTATAACATTGTAATATTTTCTAGCCATTGGAAGACTATAATTACAATTGTAGTGTCATGCCATTGTTTGAATTGGGATCTTTATACCATGATTACTACTTGTTAAATATTCGTCTTCCTTCTGACACTGGCCAGAACCAGGGATTGGGACATATTGTTGATTTATGGCTTACAGTGAGTATAAGAATATAAAATTTTAGTACATGCCAATAAAATTTTAATTGTTATAGAAATTATTTAATTTGATGTTATTTATGATGTAGGCTATAAATCAAAACGGTGGATTCACAATAGTGTGGGTGAGTCTAAAGACCGTTTACTTCCCTATAGTGTTAGCTGTTTTGACTTGGTATTGGAGAAGAGTGTACATGCTATCCAGATCGCCCGCACTTTTGGAATATATGCTCTTAGCTTTGGGTTCTGCCTTAACATTTTTAAATAGTATGTTTATTACTTTATATTTTATACAACATTTCTAAATTTTTTTTTTTATGTCACAAATTATCTGTTAATTTTCATTTTTTACATCATATTTTTAGTGCCTTTGGAATACTTGACACTTGCTTATGATATGCCATATATGCTATTGCTGGGTGATATTCGACAAGGAGTATTTTATGCGACATTGTTATCATTCTGGCTTGTGTTTGCTGGTGAACATTTAATGGTGAGGAAAACTGATTATTTGCGATTCTTATTGTCATAATTGTTATATTAGCAATAACATATATTTTTTTATTTTTGTTTCATGTACGCATCTTGTCCTTCATTAGATTCAGGTGAGTTTTTTTTATTCATTACAACTAATCTCTGTTTTTATATTACTGAAAGATACTGAATTTAATAATGTATGTTTTAGGAGGGTGAACAAAGCAATTCATTAAAATGTTATTGGCGGCATCTTTCTGCAGTAGGTACCGGATGTCTCTCACTATTTATATTTGATATGTGTGAACGTGGTGTACAATTGAGAAATCCATTCTACTCAATTTGGGTTACCGATATTGGTACGAAATTGGCAGTATCCTTTTCTTCAAATTGCTTTTTAGATCTTAAAGTCTTTAAAGAGATATCTTTAAAATAATTCTTCAAAGTTATTTTCTTGAACAAATAATAGCTATCTTTTATTATCTTGGCTGGTATATCAGCCGGAATATACTTGCTGTTCTTGTCTTATATGATATGGAAAGTATTTATGAACATTAGCGCGAAAAGGGCTGTTTTACCCAGCATGAGTTCGGCACGACGTCTGCATTACGAAGGAGTTATATACCGTTTCAAATTCTTAATGATTGCCACATTATTATGCGCGTCATTAACTGTTGTTGGCTTTATATTAGGACAGGTAAAAAATTGACGAAATGTGATTTGATTATATGTAAATTATATTAATTATATTGAATATATATGTTTTTTTTCTTGGCATAGGTTGCAGAAGGTCAATGGAAATGGGACGAAGAATTACAGTTAGAAATGACTTCTGCCTTTTTTACTGGTGTATATGGTATGTGGAACATTTATATCATTGCATTATTATGTCTCTACGCTCCTTCTCATAAGCAATGGCCAATTGAACCATCTGGTAAGTACATATTTATATTTGTAAATTAAATATTAGTATATGTTTGCGAGATTTGTTCTGTATTCTATATTAATATTAAATTTTGAACTTTATCAAATTCTGGTAACATATTTGTTACATTATGGAATAAGCCAAGATATATTTCAACTTTCCAGAGAACAGTATTAGCGAGGAAATCGAATTTTCTCCCTTGCCAACTGATCCTAATGAAATGCTGTCTCTAACTGCGTTTGCACGAAAAACAGCAGTAGAATAAAGTACATACTTTTATTTATATACATTTGTAAGAAGCAGGAGGAGACGGCAAATTCTTATATTTAATGTACTTAATTGTTACAATTAGAATTTATAAATAGAATTGTATTAGATTTTTCACTATTTATTAGGAACACAATGACTGATAATACTTTTATGATGACAATTTTATATGCCAAATTCGATTATTTATTGCTTCCAATGTTTTTTGTATGTTATATACATATTTATAGTATTATCTATGATAAGCAAAAATATACATAAGTCATTTCATCTTTGTACTTGTTAGTATGTCATAAGCACAAGTTCTAGAATGAATATGATCTGCTTTTATATATTATTTATAAAAACATTAGCATAATGCACACAACATGTGTATATGTGTATTAAGTTGAAACACAAACTGATGTTTAACAATTAAAATCGTGCACTTAAAAATATGATATTAGAAAAGTCATGAGTATAAAAACCGTAATGTACATAAATTATGTTTTATTTTCATATGCTTTCTATAACATGAAATTATTGTTATATGAATATTTTTTACATTTTTAGAATACTTAAATTTTTGGTGAAAATAGTGGATAAATGACAATCAAAAGCTTTTGAATCAAATATTTTATATGCTGATGCAATGAAATGACTTTATGTAATAAACAGCAGCTATTAAAGCTTAAGATTGAAATGAAAGGCTTTGCGAGTCACAAAGAACAAGACGTAACTGATATAATATATAATTTATATATAATTTATATATTTATATAGTTATATATAAATAAATTATATATATTCCTGTATACTTCACATGTAGATTATCATGGAGAATTAGTTTTTACAGAGCTTATACTGATAGGTAAGACATATTTCGTCTGTTAATGAAGTCCCAATGTTGAAAAAAAGTTAAAAAATTTTTCTTTGGCATATGTTTTATTCTAATTTATAAAATTTTCTTATATCACATGCTTTCATATATTTTATACGAGCAAAAGAACAAGAGTTATGATAGCATTACTGCAATAATCTAATATCGTTTTTTTGATAGTAATACATAACTTATTTATTAATATGAGATCTATGACTTTTGCATATTTAAAGAGTTAACTATTCACAATATTTCAAAATATTTCAGCATTCCATTTCGATCTTATAGGACGTTACAAATATTAAATGTTTGTATAAGTGATTTGTTGCAGTTAATCAGTAATGTAACAAAATAGACGTAGATGATATATTTATCTTAAAAATTCGAAAGTATATTATCACTTATCATACATTATGTATAAGACATGAAGAAAAGAATGTAATCTTTGCTTCAACTCAAATTATAAAAGCCTCATATTATATCTTATTATATTATACATATCATTATTAGGCATTCATCTTTATCATTTGTAATACAATGCATTTCAATCATGATTAAGAGTATTAAAAGTTAGTATTTATTATTTTTTTATTATGTTATGTGTGTATGTGCATAATATAACACATGTTATACATAATATACATGTTAAAAGCAAAAATTTCGTACAAATAGTACGAAATGTGCCAATTTACTTAAATCTACTGTTTAATAATATTAATTTTCTATTGCGTATAATATTATATACATAAAGCAAGTTCTTCGTTTATATGCACTATAAAAAACTGGGTCTCACACGAATCTATAGCCAAATATAAATCAAAAATTGTTTGATAATACTTTACAAATGATTGTATGTATTTACTGAGACGCTCTTAATAGTAGTACTTATGAAGAAGTAGTAACCACACAAAATAGCATTTATAAATAATGTGCAATAGTTTTTCTATATATCAACTTAATGTTAATGCATATTAGTCATTTAAATTGTGTAGTAGTATTTAAACTAAGCATACAAGTACAGTTTATGAAATATTGCTTTTATAAATAATAAGTTTAAATTGTTACATATGAGAGTAGCAATCCACTGGTTAATCTCCAAGGCCTTTTAATGATTTTATTAAACAATTAACATTTGTTTTATTATCATGATCTCTACGAAACGTGCTATGTGTTGTATCGAAAATAATTGTATTTATAAGCGAAACGTATTATGACATTATACATAATTACTTTACATTGCGACCAATATTTTATATTTTAATCATTTTTATACTATATTATAATCATTTTTTAAATAAATAGATTTGTTTTAGCTATTCTCTGCATTTTATGCGATGCATTTGATAGATATTATTAAGTACTATGTATAATAAGAATATTTAAATTTCACAGTATGTAAATTATGTTACGCGCTAAAAGAAAACCAAATCAGCATTTAAATTCCCCGCCACATGCCTACGTTGGAAAATGGCGCATTTGGAAAGTTCGCCGATAACTTCATTCGAGTGATTTTCAGGGATTACGCGCGTGCGTCGGATGCTACTATCGGTCGTCAGAGGCAGCAGCGTCGGCCTGGCCAGGAGAGTCCAGTGTGCAAGCGACGAGAACAGAATCAGATGGTGGCGAAGATCGCGGATTGATAGGTCGCGGGGTGCATGAGAGAGAGGGAGAGAGAGAAAGAACAGGCGTTTACGAGACGGTGGTTGGCATAGGCTCTCTCTCTGGCAGGAGGACGGGGATATTTCACTTTTCTGTGTGTACGCGTACGCGAACGATAGAGTTAACGAGGAAAAAAGGCGACATAGAGAGAGAGAGAGGGAGAGACAAAGAGAGCGCGCGCGACAAGCCGCGAGTGAAACACGGCAGTCGACGAACGCGGACTCGTCATCGACGACGGTAACGAAATGATCCTCTAGCTCCGTGCTTTCTGGCCTGGTCCACGCACAAGGGAAGGCCGACGACGACGGGAAGGAGGTGGAGCAAGAGGCGAATCGTTCTCGTGTGGTAGTAGCCGAGTTTTTATTTTCTCAGGATAACGAGCAAGGGAGAGAGAGAGAGAGAGAGAGAAATCGTACAAAGAGCTTATAAACATACATGACACTACGCATATATATATATATATATATATATACACACGCGACATGCAACGTTTCTACGAAGGAAGGAAGGAAGGAAGGATTAAGAACACGAAGCGCGCGGACACCGACGTTTCACCTCGCGTTGGATTATTCCACGTCGCATTTACTCGCGTCGAATCGTAAACGCGTTTCTCGCCCTTCGGTTAGGGCCTTACTTCAGAATCCGGTCGATCGAGTAGTCGATCGTCGTGCTTGCGAGCACTGTCTTTGTTTTTTTTTCGTTCCTTCCCTCCGTCCGTCCGTCCGTCTGTCCGTGTTGTGTGTGTATATGTGTACGTGCGTCTGCTGTCTCTCTCTCTCTCTCTTTCTCTCTCTTTCTCTCTCTCTCTCTCTCTCTCTCCCCTGCGAGAGAGAGAGAGAAATCGTACAAAGAGCTTATAAACATACATAACACACCGCATATATATATATATATATATATATATACACACGCGACATGCAACGTTTCTACGAAGGAAGGAAGGAAGGAAGGATTAAGAACACGAAGCGCGCGGACAACGACGTTTCACCTCGCGTTGGATTATTCCACGTCGCATTTACTCGCGTCGAATCGTAAACGCGTTTCTCGCCCTTCGGTTAGGGCCTTACTTCAGAATCCGGTCGATCGAGTAGTCGATCGTCGTGCTTGCGAGCACTGTCTTTGTTTTTTTTTCGTTCCTTCCCTCCGTCCGTCCGTCCGTCTGTCCGTGTTGTGTGTGTATATGTGTACGTGCGTCTGCTGTCTCTCTCTCTCTCTCTTTCTCTCTCTTTCTCTCTCTCTCTCTCTCTCTCTCCCCTGCCTTAGCGTTCCCCTCTTTCTTCTCTCATGCTGACTCGATCTCTCTCTCTCTTTCTCTCTCAGTCGCTCAGTGTGCTGAATATAACGCTCCGTTTACATTATCGTCGGAGGACAGAAGTGCGCGTTGCCACAGTGTTGGAGTACGGTCGCAGAGCGTGAATTCTTTTCGCAAAAAAAGATATCCGTGAGACATTCATTAGGGAGGCCCTCCCGGGGCACCGTTTGTCAGGCTCAGCTGATCCACGCGCAGCGAGAGAATCAAGGGGAGGACAAGGAGAAGGAGGAGGAGGTGGACGCTAACAGCAGCGCTGCGGGGCGAGGAAGGTCTCCTGCCGAACTCAGCACCGCGACGATCGAGGAGCACCGATAAATATGTCGTCCCCCAGCGCCGGCAAGCGACGTATGGACACGGACGTTATCAAACTGTATCCTTGGAGAGTCGCTTTAAAAAAAAAAAAAATCCCCTTCTCTCTACGCTAAGCTGTGGCTGCGTGTCCGATAAGTACCTATGCCATTCTTGTTTTTGCGTAGTAGTGGCGCACACGTGAGAGCGGGACGCGATTGTAACGCGTCTGTCCTCCTCGCACGCGTGCGTTTGTGTACTTGTGTGTATATATAGAGTGTTGAAAATATGTACAAGTAAAGTAAACCTCGGATTTGTTGATTATTATTTGAGGCTGATTTTTCCTTCGTGAAAATTTGATTAAATACCATTTTTCAGTCTCTTTGCTGTTGACTCTAAAAATATCGACGTTACATTTAAATTCGTGATTGAAGTTCGGTAAATAAAGATTGAAAATATGTATACAAAGTATATATAATTCATATATAAATTTTTCCATATCCATATTTTTGTGGAAACTTCTTTTCTCAATCATCCTTTTCGTGAATTAATTAAACATGTATATCTTCCAAATTATAGGCAAAAAGCAATCTGAAATAATGGTTTATGTAAGGATTAAAACGTTTTGTTAAATTTACACAAAGAGATATATTATTTTCTTTTTCATCTTTTCCGATTCTCGATACAATTTTAATATCTGTATATATCCAGATTTTTTAACACTCTATACATCCGAATGTGTGAATGAATATATGTGTATATGATGAATTTCTCGCTGGCTCGCTTATCGAGTATGATTATCGACTATGATAATCGTTACATTGACAGCGCGAGGAAACTGACAAGATGTTAAAAAAAAGGGAAAAAATGCTCATTTTTAAGTTAGATGTACACTATATACCGTTACATTAGCGTAAACGTCAAATATTCTTATAATTAAATCTCCGATTCTGTGACAAGCAGTGTGTATTGTTTCATTTGAGGCTCGTATTAGAATATTTGACGTTACGTTTACGTGATAGTGATATTGCATATAGTATACACACACACACACACACACATACATCCAGCTTTATTCACGCAATCGTCGCGGGAACATTTAATCCGTCATCGCGCAGCCGCGCTTCGACGTTTGGGCACAGCTGTTTTTAACCAGCTGACTTCTAGGCGCCTGCGCGTGTGCGTGCATAGGCAGGCGTGAGCGAGCGCGAGCGCATGTTTATCTTGTTCGCGAGCGCGTTAACGGCGACCACGTCGCTATTTCTTTTCCCTTCCTCTCTGTTTTTCTTTCTCTCTCGAACTCTCTTTCTCTATCTCTCTCTCTCTAGCTCGGGTTTTCTCCCTCCCACTCTCGATTTACACCTGTCTCGTTATTTGCGCTTGTGAAAAGGTCTTGTATATGTCGTAAATTGTCGAGGACGTATGTCGGTTTAGCGGTTGTTTTGTTGAGATAAATATATTACCGCCTTGGGCTCTCCTTTTTTATAAAACTGTTAGAAGAAAAAGGAGCGCGTATCTGAGTTACGCTTATTTATTTACGCTGATTATTACGATGCAACCGAGGGATCAAAGTTCAGATATAAGTTTCAGAGAGTGCAAAAAAATATCTGTTTTTCTTGTTTTCTTTCTCCCCTTTTTTCTTCATCTATATTTTCTCTATTTCTCTCTAACTGTTTTGCTTTTATTTTTTTTTATCTCCCTTTCTACAGAGCGTTGCTTTCGGAGGGATTCCGTGTTTGCTTTAACTCTCTCCGAATTCCATGACTTGTTCTTCGAAACGGAATCTAGGAGAGACAGACATAAAGAAAGAGACAGAGAGACGTACAGAAAGAGAACAGCGTTAATTGAGACGTCACACTCGTCCGGCGAATTCGAAGTGCGAGCGAAGTGACAGAACGTCTTAGCAGGCGCGCATAAAAATAAAACGACGATAGTCTCTAACGTGTATAGTGCGATCTCTCGTCGCACTGACGCACGTACGGGACGGGTCGATATGTACAATATTTCGCGACGAGAGTTTGTCATGCAATGCGGCCCGAAAACGTGACGGGCCGTTTTTTTCAACGCCGACTGTCAAAGATCAGTCGTATTGTCGCTCACATCTTATTTATTCCGATCAGCGACCGATGAATTATGGCGATAGAAGCGATCGTGAATTTCGTTTGGGGATTCCTTTTTCTCTTTCTGTCTCTATCTGGATTAAAATTATAGTTTTAGAAAGCTAGATCGTTCAATGTATCATTTTTGTTCAGATAAGGTTCAGATTTTTTGTATGAATTTTAGAAAGATAACTCGTTTGAATAACAAACCGAAGAATTTGATAATTTTGATATAGATAATAGATTCAAATGACGTGTTCCTCTTTTTCTCAGGAGACAATCAATGAGTTCGACAAATAATACGCACACGGAAAAAAAATGCTGTTGCTTCAATTAAAGTCTACGTCACGGGCTGCCACAGACATACATAGTTCATTCAATGATATTTTTATTAGACCAAATATCTGGACTTTTAAAACAACTATCCAGATATTTGGTCTAATAAAAATATCATTGAATGAACTATGTATGTCTGTGGTAGCCCGTGACGTAGACTTTAATTGAAGCAACAGCATTTTTTTTTCCGTGCACAGATAGGGAGAAGAAAGAAAGTTTTATTAACGTCAACTCCATCCGCCTGTAATCGACATTTATTGTTTAACTCCGTAATCTTGCGATGAGTTTTTATTTATTACTTTGATTCATATACAAAGCGAAGAGAGTGCTTCAACTCTCGCTACTTCGTCGATATATCTCGGTTCTTTTTCCTTTCTTTTTTTTTTATACGCCTTACCAGATTTTTTATATGGCACGAACGATAGCGCATTGGTAATATAATTCTTTTATTCATGATAAATGCAACGCGCGGGTTCGAAGGTCGGGATTTATTATACGTTTACATATCGTACATTACTCTAGCGTTACGATATTATTATACATTGCTGAAACACGATGATATATGAAGGGAACAGAAAAAAGAAGAAATATAGCGCATAAAAGGCCCAAAAATGACGATTACAATCGGAGCAAGTAACGTTAAAATTAAAAAAAAATTAACAAATAAATTAATAAATAAGCATTCTGACAACGGATATTTCTGCTTAATTCGAAGGATATCTTCGCTTTTTATAAATTTTAATATACATTGACGCGCGCTGTTTCAATCTACGGAATCGATATAGCTAATTATTTTACATGGATGCTCGAAAGTGGAATTTTCGAGTCGCGAACGCGCGCGTTTTATTCTAGCTGCGAGATATTATGAATCAAATATAAACAACATGCATATTCGCCGTTTCTTGGCCGGTGGAGTCTTTGCGAAATGCGTAGATCGTGTCGTATCAAGCCGCGAACACGCGGCATCGAGATTATTCTCGTATACAAGCGTGCATAGAATGAGCAGATGCATACCTCTAATCGATATATATACATACACGTCACCTTCTCTCATCACGCTTAATTTTACCATAACACCGTCCTATATTCGCTGGTATTCGTAACAGGTGGAATATCTCGCACGGCTTGATAATCCAATTTGCTAGCACCTCCCTGCGAGCTCGTTAGCCCTTTCGCTATAACGGCGTATTAAAGTCAGATTCTCGACAGAAGTTACGGCTAAACAAGATGTAGAAATATGAGAAATAGCTGCATCTTTTCTTACGATATTATTACGATACGCATTTGCGCGGAAAATGACAATGTTATACGTATTACCGGCAAAAGAGTTTGATCGATCGTTTCTTCGATTTTTACTTTGAAATTATTATGGATTTTTTTCTCTCGGTATTCATTGAATATAAAGAGTGAAAATGTATAGAGAATGGAATCACTAGAAACTATTATATAAAATAACTTGTTATTTTTAATATGATTTTAATTATCTTATTATATTTAAATAATGTATTGGAATTTAAAAATCACATTGTGTGAAAAATCACATTCCGTTCTTGAGTTTTTATTTTTTATACATTATTATTTATATATGTTTTAAATTTATTAATTTCAAAAGAAAAATTTTATTTCTTCTTATAAGATATTTTTTTTGTATAGTACATAAAAAATCGTGTATAGGAAAATATTGGAGTATATAATTCTGCTTTATATTGGGTGATTACATTTTCGCGATTGAAAAACATTGCGCTAGTCGAAGAACATTCGCTTTATCTCAAAGAGGGCAGCGTACCGGAATTTACTCAGCTACTGATAAATATATTCTTTGTTTATCGTGATAACACTGGAATAATCAAACACGCATGATACATGCGAGCAATATATTTTGAAAATCATATTTAAACGTTCACTTGGCGATATTGTCCTCGTGATTAATCGGCATCATAGTAAGTAGAAATGAGTAGATGTTTACGATTTTGCAATATTTTGGTGTCATATATCGGATACGGCGTTAATCTATAAACTGATTGTGAGACGAACGAATATAAATTGCTAGCGGCGTATAAGCTGACCTTAAATCACGCGATATCTCTTATTTCGCGAAGTGTGCAGAGCACGATACGCTCTGTTCAAACGAATCGTTTGTTTTTGAAAAGCGATGCGTTTCGAACACAAGTTTCTCTGGTCAAAACGAATACACGGAGTGATGCGTTTCGCTGGAATTCGCGATTAAAAATTTTTGCGCGTCGCGCTTTAGGATTAAAATAAAATTATTTTTTCAGTAAATGAAGAAATTAAAAATGTGTATCGACTTTAAATAACGATGATGCCTTCTTCGTACAATGCCAGTTTTCTTTTTTCTCGTCCCGCATGATATCGATTATCGCTGCGTTGAAGCATGTATTAATGTCGCAAGCGCTTCGACGAGCGAAACAAATTGGATGCGTCCGCGTTTGCGTTTGTTCCGCTAGTGCGTTTTAGTTTCTGGAAAGTCTTTCGTTTGCACGGCAAACGATGTATTAGTCATAGCAGTGACCAGTTAGTTTATTTTAAGCCCTGCTCACCCTGTGTTTGCTATTCCACTTTGTTTGTTTCTCTCTCCATAGACTTTTATCATTTTATTTTTATATACGTGATAATCGCGATTTCACGA